ATTTATTTATTTATTTATTGCATTTATATGCCGCCCATCTAGACATAGTCTACTCTGGGCAGCTTGTTTCTTGCAAAGAAAGTGGAGGGGAAAAGCAAAGATCAAAGTGCTTTGATCCCTTACACCTCCTTACTTCCGTGTATAAGATGACCCTCGATTTTTAATCTAAAAATGTTAAACAAAAATATCATCTTATACACGGAAAAATACAGTAATCAAGAAAGAGAACTTGAATGAAAAATTATAGAACTTATGGGTTGAGACAATGGGAGATATTCCTCCTTTGCCTCATCACATTACATGCTGTCCCCTTCTTGTTGCCATTTATCATACACAGGCAAGGAGGAACCAAGAAGCTTTGGGTGATGGCCTTCTAGTAGCTTCAGAATGGGCCAAGCAACACAGCAATGAACACTGAGGTCCCAGTGACAGTGGGAATCAGTGGACTGACATTAATTTTTGCTCCAAAAACATATTAGAGCTTATTTTCAGGGGATGTTTTATTTTCTCCATGTACAACAGTCCACATTTATTCAAATACAGCCATGTCATCTTCTTCTGGTTGGTGCACAGTGGTGGAGGTGGGGGTTTCACTTAACCGGGGCTTATTTTGGGGATAGGGCTTATATTACGAGCATCCTGAAAAATCATACTAGGGCTTATTTTCAGGGTAGGTTTTATTTTTGGGGAAACAGGGTATGTCTCAGACACATATATACATTCAAAGAAGATAGTGTCTGTGCGGCCCACGGTACAGTCCATAAAAGGAATAATTAATATATGCATATGTCATCCAGCCATTTCTGGTTTTAAGGAAGCCAGAAATGTAAGGAGCTTAAACCAGATGGACCTAATAGGAAAAATAAAGAATACCAATTGCATGGTATTCTTTAAAAGAGGAAAATCTGTTCCAAAAACGTGCATTTCACATCTTTGTGGCATAGAATAGGGTTAGTGCAAGATGTTTTACTGCCTGAGATAAGGACATGATGTCACCTCCAGCATTGTATGTGCAGAAGCTGACTAGGCTAGCAGTTAACCCTTCCCTTGGCACTGGCAATGGATCACCCTTAAAGGCAACAGGCCATTTTAAGGGGCGCAGGAGAGGCTGTCTGGTGTAAACAGCTGTGTTCCCCAAGGGGGAAGAACAGCTGAGGACTCAGGAGCAGTGACTGGTAGGCTACCACTCTTGTTCGGCAGCATCTGCTGCCTGAGGTAGTTGCCTCACTCTGCTTCATAGCAAAGGTGGTCCTGGCAGCGAGGATAATGTCAACTAAATATTGGGAAACTAAACAACTCCCTTAGCTGGGAAAAAAGTATATTGGATTCTAGGACCCAGTAGTTTGAAAAATACAGAGACACACTATTTCTATAAGCAACATGAAGAAGTTCTGCGCAGAATGAAGGTACCATTTGCAAGAGCAAGTGATACCTTTATTAGATCATATTTGTTTGCTTCATTTTATTAGACCATTTTTAGTAGTCTAATAAAGGTATAACCTGCTCTTGCATTTGTGTTGTTTTGTGGCACCAAACAACCTTTCTCTCATTTTTTTCTATGCAAAAGTAGTAGGTTTTCAGTTGGAGTTTTAAACAACTTTTAAAACTTACTGGAATGAGAGATAAAATAACCAGTTTCCCCCTCCTCAAGAATTATAAACTGACTAGATGCTTGCATCTGTGTTCTTTTCTATTTCTTGTGGATGA